AATTGGGGACCTTTGCCTGCATCTGATTTTTTTAATACGTGTTTGATTAGTTAATTAGGAAAAAAAATGAACAAATTGAAACTTAAAACTTAATCCAAAATTTTTCACATGAGATATCAAAATGGATGTATCGAGAGTTCAAAAACCGTTTTAAGAGAAAATTTGGATGATCTAATCATAATAAAATTAAATTACAAATTCATTCTTCGAAAATGTCATGAAGATTATAACAATAATTTAGCTAAATATTGTGAAAAAGAATAAAGTAAAAAATGGCAATATTTGTTCGTCAAAGTTAAATTAATACTAAAAAGAATTGGTAGTTTGCAAAACGCAAAAAAAAATTAAGAGTTATATGCACATCCCTGAGAGCATATAAAAAAATACAGGAATATAGGAGGCGTATACATGGCAGCTGCTGGCCTGGAATGCAATCCTAAAAAAAGAAGTATTGTTTTTGGGTTTACATTCTCTTTGGTGGTAGAGGTGAAAACTAGGTCCGGCAAATGTTTTTTTCTGCCTCCATCTCTAAATAAGAATTACTATTAAACTATTTTTAATACATTGTACCGTTCTAATTTTGGAAGCGGGTGATTACAAAATTGTTATTTTGTTCGGTTGTTCTATTAGCCATGAAGAGATCAGTATGCATAATTAAACTCTGCTTAGCCCTCTCCATTTTAGTGTTTTAGTGTTTCATTTGCCAGGTTAACTCGATTTGATCATGTTTCAATTGGATATTTGTAACATCCCGTGTTTTCACTTCTGTCTAAACAATTTCTTTCTTCTTTTAAAAAATTCAAAGTCAAAGACAAATCAAGCTAGCAACACCGAGATGTCCGCCAGGCTCACGCCTAAGGCGCACTAACACTTAATTACACAACAGAAAATTAAATAAAACTAAACTTTTATGAAAAAGAGGATAACACCTCAACTTCGATTGGTACATTAACTTATTCTGCACTAAACCTTACCTCTACATAATATTATAGAACAAGCTCTTAACTACAACATTATTCAACCTACTTGGTATTCTAAACTCAAGCAGAGGTATAAACCATCTCAAGTCCTACTCAAGTCTCCTAAAAACATTGTTCCTTCATTAGCAGCATATCTCTTAATGTGATTCTGGGAAGGAAAGGGGGAAATATATAAATATATAGGGGGTGAGCACCGAGCTCAATGAGGTTCTCACTATATAGGGAGAAATATATAGATATATAAGGGGTGAGCACCGAGCTCAATGAGGTTTTCACTATAATATTACAATAATTTTAATAAAACAGTTTTAAAGAAAACATTATTCACTTGTAGAATAGTTTCGCATAAAATCAATGAAACATATATACAATCAAAACACTTAGCATTATCAAATAACAATAGGGTGGATACGGGGATCACAACAAGGGACCCTGTCAGGCCTATATGGCACTGTAGACGGAGAACCTAAGTCGGATCATAACTCTTGGATATTTAGCCCAAACATTAACTCTTGTAACTCTTTCCCTTATGACTTCCTTGGTACCAACTCTTGATTACTCATGAGTATCATAACTCTAGCCAAGGTAACTAGCTATCCGACCAAATCCGGTGCTTGACTCGTTTAGTTTTGCTAACCAAGGCAGGGCCCAACTCTTAACTCTTGCATGCACAAATAATATCCGGGGAGATATAGTACACCACCGGAATACATTTAACAATAACATTACAAACTCTACCGAGGTGGTAAACACCATCGGAAATTCAACATTCACTTAATCAATCATATAATCAAAGCAACATTTTACACATAAACAATTCAACTTTATTTCAGATACAATAAAAGTAAAATATATATCTCGGGGTGGTAAAGTACACCACCAAGTCATTCAACAATATGCATTTGATTTTTCAATAATATTTACAAGAACGTGCTCAAGTGTGTCGTGTCTTTTGAACATATTCCCATACTCCCAGTTTTTAAAATATTTTTAGAAAGAGTGAAAGTACTCACAGGGTCGTGATGATGTTTCAATACAAGTATCACCTCTCTAGCCGATATCGAAATGACTCCAGATATCAATCTTTCCTTCCTTTCCTTCAGCTCTGAAAACTCTCAAGACTCGCTCACTCTCTTGTTTAATTCAGAATTTTTGGTGTGCTTTGAACAAGTTCCCATTCCCCCATATTTATAGTCATTTTTCACCTCCTTATTTCACCTTTATGCTTCATCAAACTAGCTTCTATTAGTCACTAGTCTAAGCTTTCCTAGATTGGCCACGTGTCCTAGTAGAATTTCTTATTCATATTAGATTCATGAATAACCATCTTACTTCACCTACGTGCTTCAGCTATATGTATCATTGCCTGGATGCTAGATTCGCTGACTCATTCAGATGATAGCTGGCTAACGTATTTGCTTCACCTATGGCTTCAGCTATTTATTTAAGCATTTAATATGGTTAGTCATCTACTAAATCTCCTAAACATGCCCAATGCCCCCTTTAGGACATTGCTAGGATAGCTTAGTCACCTTTTTGCTTCACCTTCTTCACTAGGGTCATAGCTTTGCTTAATCCTTACTCCTAGATTCCCCACATGTCCCATATAGCTTGGACTATCAGCAATTGAAGGATCCAAAATAGCTTATGTGTGTTGCCTATTTCACCTTCATGTTTCACTATTCTATGTTTTTCCTACATTCCACATGGTCCTTTCAAATTTGCCTAGTCATAACAGCATGGTGAGTATCCTTCCTGTTTCACCAACATGCTTCACCTTATAGCTTGAATTACTCATTATTAGTTTTCTACATCTTTAACTCATGTATGCTAGCTATGATGAATATGTAGCTTATGCATCATGAATTAATCAAATATTCGGCCACAATTGCCAACATTTATTATTTAAACCACGAATATGATTCGTAGTCATTAATTTGATAGTTTTAACGTGCCTTTCCATTTCACCTAAGGTTTTATACTGAGAACAATTCAAGTTAAAGTACTTTAAATTTTTGGATTGTTGCAATATTACTAAATCACATTATAAAGAATAGAAAAATGGGAGAAAAGAAAGCCCTTGGTTAGATGTGCGTTAGTCGTGCATTAGTCGTTGTATTGTCATCAATATCATAATTTAGTCGTAATATATATTCCTTTAATGCTACAAAAATAGTCAAATTGATTTTTAAAATTTATTACTTAAATGAACTATTTTTTTTAGACAAAGTGGTATTATTTTTCAATCCTTCGAGTGTTTAGAGCTTATAATGTAGGGTTTTATTTTATGGTTTATCCAATGGATTATATTTCTAGTCCGGTTACAAATTAATAGAATTACAACTCCACTACACAAACCTAATTGTCGACACCAAAAAGATTTCCACTTTATCACCATAAGCTTAACAACACAACAATGACTTAAATGTCATGTATGTACAACAAGATAGATTGATGGAGGAGAAAAATCATTACAATAATTAGAGCAGTGATGAACTTATTCATCCAACGATTTTCACAATATATATATATATATATATGCACAATAGAGCAATGAAAATGTTTACTGAGGCCACTGAAGCATGAACAGAGGTTGTCAACAAGATGTTCATCTTAGTTAACAGAACTCCCAACTCAGACCTCATCTTCACAATGATTCCAAAAAATCAACCGAATCGCTTGAGTAAAATACCATGTCATTTCAGGAATTAATAAGAAAGTGAAAAACAGGTTTATCAAAATTGAATGATAATCGCACAGGCAGGTTATGTCAAAACAGAATAGGAGGAAAGGCAACAAGCTTTTGACCAGGAAAAAATGAAATTCTCCAAACTTGAATTAGATCTCGCCACGAATTGGAACAATTACGCACGAGCTTTGCACGTGATTGATGTTTATTAATTGAAATAATAATTGAAAAGTGAAAATTTTTTCAAAATTTCCTACGCGAAATATCACAATGGATTGAAGTTATTTGATATTTCACATGTGGAGATTAAAAACAATGTAGCTTCCATTTTTTTGTGACAGTTTAGTTAAACCGAATACCCAAGCAAATCATCATTCGCAAGTTGCAACACTCATTTTTCAATGTTAACCTACAAGGATTACACCCATGATAGAGTCATTAAAGTTCATAGATTAGCATAAATAAGTACATTTGACAACCATAATTAATATTACTATCTCTTCGACAAGAACAATAGCCAACATTGAATTTTGAGATTTATTTTGAGTCTTATATCTTGTGTAGTTTGTGGTTCATATTAACTATACATTTTTTATTTTAATATTACAAGCACGCACGAGGCGCGTATTATGCCCCTAAAATGAAAAAATAACCCAAACAAAAAAAAATATTGAACATAGAAATAACCAAGCAACTAAAATAGATAGAAATATACATTTTTTGCGTATTTCTATTAACCAAGCAATCTAGATAGTTTTCCGAAATTCACCTTTTTTGCTTATTATTAATTCCGTCATTTCTAATTGAGGTATTCCGATTAGGCATCCTATACATATTTTAGTTCTGTGTTGTTTGTGCAACTCTATAAATTTTCACACATCACAGGTAATAGTAAAGTTTGACTCTAATTTAATTAGTATCTTGACATAAGACTTGTCTAATATGTGTTTTAACGCGACATGTATTTAGAGAATAAGAATTACAGTACATTTGCTGCACTACGGCTCTGATTACAAATCAGTGCTTCAGGATATTCAACAAAGAAGAACAAAGTAACTTGCCACAGACTAAATGGGCAATACATATATTATCACACTGAAACTTATTCAGTGGTTTAGGAGTGGAATGAAAAGGCTTTGCTTATGTAGTAATAGGAGTAGGTACGTGTGTTAAGCTTGCTTGGGCTTCTTAGTTTGCTTTTCCCCACTTGCATCTTGATCTGTAGTGTCCTCTGCTTCCTGGTGCTGGGTTGTCTCGGTATCCTCATAGTCACTCATTGGTTTTTGATTTTCGTTTGATGGTTCCTCCTCCTCCACCTTCTCGTCGTAACTTTATTCCATGGACTTGTTTTCATGTGGTGATGTCGTGCTGGTTTCCTCATCAGATGGGTCTGTGTATGTGGTTAGTTAGTCAGATAATGGAATATGGATATAATATTGGTTTTCCCACTAATTTGTTTATTTTTACCTTTCTTAACTTCTGAAGAAGCTGGTATTTCATTAGGCTGGAAAAGCTCAGTACCCTCTGGTACTTCGGAGTATTGGACAATGTCGTATCGACGCTTTTGTCCACTTCGTTTCTTCCTTGATGGTTTGAGTTGAACTATAAATGGTTTTTCAGCAAATTTTTTGTGGACTTTGGACAGATGAGTATTTATCTCCTGCAATGTTAATGGATTATAATTTCAGTAAAATGGCATCATATGTTCAGTAAAATGGCATGACATCATTTCCTATTTTACCTCAAAGCTGTAATTCCTCAGGACATCTGCTGGTAGTTCCAAAATCTCCTCAGGTAACTCAGCATATGCGCTTCCGGTAATAGTTCCACTTTGATCGTTTAGATCAATATCGAAGCGGCATCTGTTCAATATTTTGTAATTTAGTTGTATTCTTTAAATTTCGAAATTTATTTCCGCTCTATGTTATGTACCTGGCCTGAGCTTCTTGGGGCTTTCCACAACCATTGCAAGTGTATTCTTCACCGAGTGGCATATCTGTTGCAGTGTAGCATTTCCTGCAAGCCTTGTACCAATACCTTTGGGGGATGTTCTTGAAGCTGAGGAAGACTTGGACCCAAGTAACCTGTATTTTGAATTATGATGAGCTAATGTTTGATTTAGTACTTTATCTCACTATGTGTCTAAGCTGATGTTACCTTTGGATTTTTCGATATGTTTGCCACATTAGTTATTGGTTGGGCCGTGTCCATTGTCATATTTGGGGCATGGTGTTGAAAGTTTCTTTTCTCCACCAATTCCCTGATTTTCTGGCTATTTCTTTGAGCCCTGTTACGGGAAGGTTTTTGATATGCATAAATATAGAGTTTATAATGACTGTGGAATATAGTGTTACGGAAAGAAGCATAAGTATATTTTTTCAGAAACGTGCAATACTGGGGTTGAGCAACTCTGTACCAGTTGCAGTGCCTCGTCAATAGGAGGGTTCACAAGTATCATGGAATCGTACTTGTTGGCGAGGGCGATTCCTGTTTTGGTGTCATTCAAATGGAAGCAAAATCAACCTTTAGTATGGCAAAATTTGTTGTGTAAATTGTGATGTATATTTTTGTACCTTTAAAGTAAGAGACGTTGACACGGTGGCAGATGACAACCGGGTGGTTGATGACTTCGTGTTCAATTCTTGGTCCTACCGCATCAACAAATTCGTTCCAAAGTGATAAGCTAATCACTTTCATGCTGCAAACACAAGAGCGATAATTAGAGTTGGTTCATGTGTAGGGATTGTTGAAGGCATGTTATTGTGTTTATAAAAGTAGGTGGGAGTATCCCAACAGAAACAGAGAAATACTTTTCATTCAGCAGAAGGTATTTTTGCACGGTCTGTTCCTTGTTGTCCTTTGATATGCTCCGCAGTGGGAATGCCTCAATGACGACTCCAAGCACATCTGAGGAATTAGTTGTGTAGAAGATTGGAATTATTTAGTTTGTTAGTTAAGGGTGTCGAAGTGCATTTGTTAGTCTTTCTTTTATAATGCAGTAAATACATTATGTAAATAGTAAACTTTGAGGGTGTTTGATATGTTCCTTACCAACAGTTGCATTTTTCTTGTTGATAAATTTGGCCAACTCATCAAATGTTGTGTAGTTGTAGTCGACCAGCACCGTGTTGGTTGGTTCAGCAACTTCCATAACCGGAGTTCGTTCGTTGATAATCTACGTCTTGGTTATTCCTGGTTTCTGGAATTTGACTGGGATTGTTCTGACTTCAGCATTTGTGATCCGATACGTCGTAAATATTTCTAGCCTTTCGCCCATCAACTTAATGTTATTGTTGAAAACCACAGCCTCAGCTTTTCCTCCCTGTTAGGCATTTGAAATGCGTTAAAATTATTCTGAGTCGGAATATATTCTGAATGAAAATATGTCTTTTGTTTATGTTACCTTTGAATCTGAGAACATGAATTTCTGATATCGAAAGTCTCCGTTAGCAGATTGCCTTGGATGCAGCTTTTCTTGTACGGTGATGATTACGTACCAATCCCTGGTACCTTCATGAATCTCTTGGACGTCACACATTGTTGTCATGCTGGATTGTTTGAAGCTCAAAATTTGCCTGTGGTTTGAGAGAGCAAAGAAATTGTGTCAGAATTTTTGAAGTGTTGTATAATATAAAAGTAAAGGAGTTTTTAGTTTGAGAGGAAGTGAACCTACAGTAGTGGAGAAAAGTTTTTATGTGTTGCAAATGTTCCAGGCCTTGTCCTTATATACAAGTTTGGAAGTGTGTTATAGTTAGTATAATCACCCATTCACCTGTTGTTTTCATGAGTTAGTGGGTTTATTCATTTAAAAGTGTAATTTATGGAGCACCTTATGTTGTGCCTGATGTTCGGTTTTCTCCTTTGCTGCTTTAGATATATAACTGAAATTCCCCAATGATGAGTTGTGTGTGTAACCACTGGATAAATGCCTATGTCCGAAATCTTCTTCTTCTTCTTCTTCTTCTTCTTCTATTTAAATTGTTGTGTTATAGTTTTAGATCTAGAATACATTTGCTGCACTACGGCTCAAATGTTTTTTAGGAGATAAATCCATTATATTGGTGCATTATATGGATTTACTGCAATGTACTATTGCTGGCAATGCCTGTAATTATTATTATATTATAATATTATTAGTGTTATTATTATTATTTTTACAACTACTTACTGTATGGGGATAAAAGTTTTGGGATGTAGGGATATATACAGTTTTGCAAATATGTGAGCATAAGATCATCAGTGTAAGACAATCATTTTCCTAAGTACGTGCTTTGCTGCAATGATTTACTCACTCCTTACTATTTGTGCAGTTATTTCGTAAAATCAATGTTTCTTAGTGGGGATGATATTGAAGTAGTTTCATTGATTGAGGGGGTTTTGGAATAGAACAATATGAAGAGGGCCAAATTATTCCTCTTCAAGTGATTAATAGTTTCATGATCATGATGAGGGAAGTAACTGCAAGGTGGATTGTTATTCTTTTGCTATATGCTCTTACATGATTGTGTGGTTACAAAAGGGTTATAAATGATAGTCATCATTTTTTTGTTTAATTTCATTAAATGCAATATTAGTAACTAGCTAGAATTTGTTTGGTTTTTCCTGAAGTGTGGTTATAATGTTTATCTTTGGTTATTATGTAATAAAGATAAACCAAATCCATTATTATCAATTATCACCGGTAAAAAACTGTTTGGTTTTAAATCTTTAGTGTGTTGTTTTGCGTTATCCAAAAACCGTTTAATACATAAATTACAGGCCACAAAAACTTCCACCAAACTGAGGTTGACTGGGTGATTCCATAAAAAGTCTGAAAGATTGGTACATGGGTATGAAGACATTATGAAATGCTTTTAAGTCAATGGTAACAAATGTTCTGATGTTAATTCTGGAGCCGTCGCAGCAGCATGCCATAAGTGGAATGACGGAATAAATACACTATTTCTTTTATTTGTAGTTTTGCTCAGTTTAAGAAACTAATGTTCTGTAGTATATGTATTGCTGTAATGATTGACTAAGTCCTTATAATATGTGTTGTTATTTTCCGAAATCAATGTTTCATTAGTGGGGTTTAGTATTGAATGAGATTTTATTGGTTGGGGGGTTGGTGTAGCAGAATCTCAAGGGTTCGTAATTATATTGATTAATAATAATGTTTCATGTTGATAATGATGGAAGTAAATGCAAGTGTAGTGGGATGCTTTTGCTATATGCACATACATAACTGTTTTTGTAAGAGAGTTATAAATTATAGTCATCATTCTATTTTTTAATATTATCGTGAAATGTAATATTAATAATACGTGCAATTTGTTTGGGTATTTCCTAATGGGTTTTGCAATTTTTGGTATGTAATATAATTAAGCAAGTTAATAATAACATAACAATCCTAATCATAATAATAAGGCTATTTTTAATAATTCTGTTGTATTTATGTGAATTGATAATGAAATTGTATGAGTAAGCGCAGTTATTATTTGTAATTACTTCCATATAGCTGGAAATTTGTAACTGCTTCCACTCACATGTTTTACTGTATACTCCATAAATTTATACTTTTATCTCTGATTTCCCTCGTTGGTTGTTTTTCCTCCTATTGATATTGTTCTAAATATATAGTTTTTTTTTTATTGGAGTGAAACATCCTATTGATATTGTTCTAAATATATAGTTTTTTTTTTATTGGAGTGAAACATATTGCAGAACTATTATAGTTTATGCACTCGGGGACATGGGTGAGTTTTTGCAGGTTGTTCCAAATGAGTTCCGGTTGCAAATGGTAATTTTCTTGCAACGTGTACTTTGTTGCTATACTTATATTATTGTTGTTTGTAAATTTCTCAATAATATGAGATGACGATGTGTTGTATCTCAAATTTAGGAACTTGCAATTCACTTCTGGAATGAAGCTGGAGTGGAACTTCCTTTTGAGTTGGTATTAAATGCGCGTGATGGTTCTTGGAATATCAATGTGCTATATGAGCGTCATTTTGGTGTTGTTTTTGGAGAGGTTGGAATAATTTTGTTTCCACATTTGGTCTGGTTGCTGGAGACATAATATGTTTTAGCTACGTGGGTAATGGAAATATTGATGTAGCCGCGTTCGACAGTACTTCATCTTACAAGAAATTTAGTCATGGGAAATTTGATTGGATGCAGAATAGGTTTTGTGTTTTAATGTGGGTTTGCGCTGAGAATGCCTTTGTAAGTTGGTCAATTCTACATGGATGAAATATTTTTGTTGTGCTGTTGTTAAGAACTTTTGATTATATTCCTCTTTTTGGTTTTCTGTTTTTTTGTTTGCAGGAACTACCTCAATCTATTACACTTCCATGTGGCGTTGAAGAAGTTTGTGAGTTAAAATTGCGTAGCTCCAAAGGCATGTTTATAGTTAACGCTAAGACGAACATTGATGGTAACTGGGTTCTGTTTGGTAACGAATGGAAACGGCTTGTTGGTGCTCATAATATAAATTCAAATGCTTACCTGATATTTCAAAAAGAGAATGGTTTGATGTATGATATTAAAGTGTGTAGAGGTATGCCTTGCTGCACTCGAGGAGGGTTGCTTGTAAATAAAAAAGGGTCATATGGAACGGAAGTGCATCCTATTTCTGTGGCAAGCGATTTAGAGGAAGAAGGTTGTGTTTGTAGTTGATATAGTTGTCTTTGTTTTGTTTTGGTCTATCAGAAATAGTTGTGTGATATTGGTTGTATGTTCTTGTAACTGATTATTATTATTTTTTTCCAGAGGCTGATCCATATTTTGAGTTGAACATTCAGGAGCATCATAAGAATTGGGTGGTCAGTGATGGTGGTGTTTTGCATTATGGATGATTTAATATTACATTTTTTTTATATTAACTCCGCGTTTCGTATACATTTCAGACTATTCCAGCTGCATTTATTGACGTGTATGATGTCCGAAGCATGAAAGTTGTGTTGATTTCATTGAAAGGGAGGTTCAAGTTGCAGGTTAAACATTTTCGAGGCAGAGGAAGGAAGCAGAGCAAGCATATTGTGTTTGGAACTGGATGGAAGGATTTCTATAAGAGAAACTATCTTTCAAACGGTGCAAAATGTAGATTTCAATTAATGAAAGCCAGCGGGAATCAATCTGCAGACACCTTCATGATGAATGTCGTAGTGAAGAAGTGATTAGTTTTACTTTTCCTAGATATCGTTATTAGAGGCTTTGTTACGCCGGATTTAGCAATGGTTAATGGATTTTTTACTTGTTTTTGTCAGTTTTTTTTGTCTTAGTAATCTTGTTTTTTTGTGAGGGTGATTTCAGTGTGCAAATGAAGCGTGCATGTTTGTTTGGTGATCCGTTAGAAAACATTTGGAATGAGTTTTTCGTGGAGTTTATAGTTGTTTTCTTACTGTTTAGTTTTTGTCTTTTATTTGCGATCTGCCCATTTAGAGTTATTGGTTCTTTGAGGTTAGCGATTTCCAGTTTGGTGTACAATTTTAAATTCGTGTATTATAAACAATAGAGAAAAGGAGACCGAGGCCAAACCTGTGAACTGACCCATGATCCTAGTGTGGATATGGGAAATGCGAACTGCAGGTTGAACTTTGTTTATATTTTGGTGTCGTTTCCCACTTGGCCCGGTAAATACAATTTGCAAATATTGTTCTAGTATCTCAACACGCAGCGACTCCTCAAGAATAAGTGTCGTGGCCTCAACACCTGCAAAGGTTGTGTGCGCAAATTAATCAGCAACATAGTTAAATAAACCGTATTGAGTGAAATGTAGTTTTGGGTTATAAGTGTTCACCAATGTTACATGGCGAAGGTTTTTGGCATTAAAAGTTGATTGTCACACTATGTGTTGATTCTCAGCTTCAATTGTTGAGGAGATCAGCACCAGGCGCCTATGAACAATAGTTCAATTATTTAGATATTCCAATTAGGGTTTTGCATATCTATTACTTGGACAAATAAGTCTAAGCTCTGAAAGAGGAAGGACAAGGTAACTTCCTGTTCACTTCTTTGAGAACTTAAAGACAGACTAACTTTTAGCTGAAACTCAGGAATTGAGATTGTATCACCAAAAAAAAAAAAAATTCAAGAAACATCATGTATCGTGAATCTAAGATTCTGGTGGTGAGTCCTGAATCATCTTTTAATTTAACCCAAAAAGAAAAAAACTTTTAGAGCAGGATGATGACTGTGAGTATAATAAATATGTTGTTACTTGTGCAACATAGGCCAAAGATACGAAATTCAGGCATTTTCGAAGAGTCAAAAATAGAATACCTGCAGAATATGAATGCATTCGAACTTTTCAGTATTACCAAAAAACTTCCACAACCACAACAATGAACTTTTGCTTCATTGAGAGAATGTTTATTTTCATTATTTTGAAAATGTTATGTTGTCAATTTCTGATAACAACGACTGAGTAGTGAATTTGATGAAAAGACACCCCACAGATGTTTAGGCTCCTGATTGTGAAGTGCAAATAATAGTATGTCCTATATGAATCTCTAACAGTGTGCGCACTCTAAATTCATTATCCAATCATTAAACAATGAAAAATTAGATACTCATAATTACTGCCACTGAAAATCATTTAATCTTTCAATTACAACAACAAGAACTTCTACACAAAGTTCATAAGTAGTTTTTAAAGGAAAGAAACAATACAGTAAAAATAGCATCACAATAACGTGAGAACATATCAAACTACATATTAGAATTCACGCGGAAGTTGATGCTAAATTCTTAAAAAGTTTGAAAGAGCACTACCAGGCTACAGGAACATCATGAAAGGCTTTTAAATCTATGATAACAAATCTGGTGATGTTATACGTAGCCTAACTTTAAGATCTGCATTATTCGGGACCTGCAGCAATGAATTACAAGGATGGTTGTGAATGCGGTATATTGAGGAAAGGCATATGAAGTGCTGACAACTGGAAAATTTCTTGGTAGACAATGTTCCGAGTCTTGCAGTCCGTTTTATATTCTTCAAGAGTTGGTGGAGAAATCAAAACTTTAACACATCGTGCTGTTCTTGCCCGTGATAGTGCGACATAAAGCTGACCATGTGAGAATATTGGTTTTCTTAGGTAGATCCCAACGAAATCCAATGTTTGGCCTTGCCCTTTGTTTATTGTCATTGCAAAGCACAACCGAACAGGGTACTGAGTTCGTATAAACGATATTCCATTCTTCTCGTTGTCGGAGCAGTGAAGGGGAATCTTAGGAATGAATATTTCTTGACCTCTATGCTGCCCTGTAGCAATCTCAGCTTAATTGGTAAAAGATGTCAATTCCTTACATATCAACGTGGTACCATTGCATAGTCCTTCAACCGGATTTAGGTTTTTTAGAAGGATGATTGGGCAGTTTTCTTTCAGGGGTTTATATGGTGGGAAAGATTTTGGGTTGAGATAGTTCAAAAAGTCTTCATAATCCCCTTGGTGCCGCTCATCTACTATTTTATCCCTACTTGTATAGATACACAAGTTACCAGGGAACCTGTGTATCATAGTGTCATTGATATCACCTACTAAGTTGTTCTTCGGGCAAAGAATGCATCTATTGATCATTTCATAGGGTTACGTGCATATTGTGTTAGATCTAGGAACATGCTGTCAATCAAGCTGACAACAGTAAAGTAAGGAAATTATTGTTCCAAATGGAGCATAATACAAAATAACACGTTTGATGTTGAAAGACAATTAACTGACCTATTCAGCGATGACTCATTATCGCTAAAAGGAATGACAATATCAGAAGGGAGGGTCACTTCCTCGTTTTCATCAGTTAGCTTTGTCCCTTCTCCTATTCTGAGGAGGAAGCTTGAGAAATTTGGATCCAAAAGCGCTCGCATATTTTCACTAAGCTGCAGTACTTTCATTGATCTCCATAAGAATGAATTAACAATGCTAGCATTCACTTGTATTTCTCTAGTGCCATTGACAATGACCGGAAGGGTTTGATGGAAATCACCCCCAAAAATAACGATTTTCCCTCCAAATGGTCTGTCATTGTTCATTAGGTCTTTTAGCAAGAGATCAAATGCCTCGATTGCTTGTCTTTTGGCCATTGTTGCTTCATCCCAAATAATGAGGTTTGAATCGATAATAACTTTGGCGGTGCTGCTTTGTTTGCTGAGAGAACAACTTAAAGTATGTGTAAATTCAATTGGGATTTTGAATCTAGAGTGTGCCGTTCTTCCTCCTGGGAGGATTGCAACTGCTACACCTGATGAAGGTACTGCTATTGCAGTTTGCTTTTTTGCTCGAATTTGGGCCAAAAGAGCTCGGTACAAAAAGGTTTTGCCAGTACCTCCAGGGCCATCAATAAAGAAAGCTTGTCCATTGCCAGAATGTACATGAGACATTATCGTGACGTAGGCTTCTTTCTGTCCAACATTAAGATTTGTTTCCAATTCTAAATCCTCTTTGGTCACAATAATATTCATTTCGCTTCGTATTTCTCGTGTTATTTTTTCTGTAGAATCAACACGGATCAAGTAATCAACTAAATTGAAATCATTTACACTCTTTCCCATCTGTTCCTGTTAGCAAAAGAACCCTTTGGGTTATAAGGAAGAGAACTTTTAAGTGATAGGTTTAGGAAGTGAAAATGGAAGAGAAGGAAATTTTGGGAGAAAGGGAGCTTTACTACTTTGTAGTAAAAGGAAACAAGGTGGAGTGTGATAAGTTTTTAGTTTAAGGTTTCTCACAACTCTCTACACACTTACATTAGGGGGTTAACTCCTATTTATAGGAGTGCATGGAAGGTTCGACTCTTTCAAGATTTTTCTACTCCTTCTAAATATCTACATATTTTATTCTAATATCTAGATTTTTCCTTACTAATATATAGATATTTCTTCTAGATATTTTCCATGAATTATTCTACATACTCTTGATATTTATGTAGAACATTTCTAGAACTTTCTACTTCTAGATATCTTCTTATCTAGACAATTCTTCATTGGACTTGGGCTTAGGATTAAACATAAAGATTCATGGTCCAAGTTAATAATTTGGATAACCCAATATTAATTTGACCAAATTAAGTTTACTTACTAACACCCCCTTTAAACTTGATTTGGTGACTCCAAGCATCATCCTCAATCTTGCAAAGTCTTCTCTTTTGAGTGGTTTGGTGAAAATATCTGCAACTTGATCACGTGATCTTGTACGCTTCAACTCAACGATCCTCTTGGCCACACATTCCCTTATGAAGTGGTACCTTGTATCAATATGCTTGCTTCGATCATGGTAGACTGGATTCTTTGCCAAATCGATGGCTGACTTGTTGTCAACATATATCTCTGTCGCTTCTCCTTGTGGCATACTTAACTCCTTCAACATGCTCCTGAGCCAGATAGCATGACATACACATGATACTACTTCTACGTCCTCGGCCTCGCATGATGACAAGGTGACTATAGGTTGTTTCTTAGAAACCCATGTAAAGGCAGTGTTGCCAAGGAAGAATGCGAATCCAATAGTACTTTTCCGTTCGCTCAAGTCTCCAGACCAGTCACTATCACTGAATCCCACAAGCTTGAAGTCATCACATGAGGAATATAACAAGCCAAGATCAATAGTACCTTTGATGTAGCGAAGTATCCTCTTGGCAGCCTTCAAGTGTGTCGTAGTAGGTGCTTCCATAAATCGATTGATAAGTCCCACAGCAAAGAGGATATCAGGCCTTGTGCATGTTAAATAACGTAGGCTTCCAACAAGGCTCTTGAAGTGAGTTGGATCTACAACATCTCCTTCATCATCTTTTGAGAGCTTTGCTCCATATTCAATGGGGGTGGCTATTGGCTTGCACTTCTCCATGCCAAATTTCTTAAGAACTTCCTTAGCGTATCTTTGTTGAGAGATGAAGATTCCATCATCCAATTGCTTGACCTCGATGCCAAGATAATAGGACATAAGTCCTATATCAGTCATCTCAAACTCTTTAGTCATTGCCTTCTTGAAATCTTTGATCATGCTAGGTGAATTTCCTGTGAAGATGAGATCATCCACGTACAAACAAACAAGCAACATATCTCTATTGCCTGAAAACTTCACATAGAGTTCATGTTCACTTGGACATTTCTTGAAACCATTTTCCTGAAAATAGTGATCAATTCTTGTATTCCAGGCTCTTGGTGCTTGTTTCAAACCATATAGAG